ACCAAATTGCTTTTAATGAGTTGTCAGTTAATGAGTTTGTCATTCATATTCCAGACCAACAGCTTGATCATTAAAATGGAGATTAAGAGGGCCTGCTCAGGTTACACTGCTTGTAACAGGCATCCTATATTGGAATTCCAGCACTAGTCCCAACTGCTCCACTTCCCATCCAGCTTCCTGCGCTTGTTTTTGGGGAAGGCAGAAGATGATATCTCAAGTGCTTGGACTCCTACCTTTCATGTGTGAGACTAGGATGGAGTTCCTTACCTTGGCTTTGGTCTGGTCCAAACATAGCTATTGTGGCCATTTGGGGACTGAACCAGCTCACACACACTCTCTCGCGCTCTTGCTCTCTCTCTCTCCTTCTCCCCTCCTCCTCCTCTACCTCCTTCTCCTCATCTTTTTCCCTCTCTGTTGCTCTACCTTTCAAATAAATAAATCATTAAAGAGGCATTAAAAGAAATGCCCAGTCCATCATCATGTATAGACCTTAGTAACTGCCAAGAACAACAACAAAAAAAAATTAGTCAAAGTCACATGTGCAGGGTCAGAGAATTATATTGATAATAAGAGTGTCTCTCCTTGACATAGTCAGACTCAAAATAGCTGTGCGTGACAGATTGTCCTGTGAGCAATCCCTAAAACCATTTACCTACGCTTCTTTGGAAGGGCCTGATAACATAGCTCTGTCAGCAGCTGTAGCTGCTATCGACATCCAGGGAGAAGAGGAGAAAAGGGAAGGCTAAGAGTATTTTTAAATCTTTGTTTTGTTTTGTTTTGGCTTTGCTTCTGCATTTTGGTCTTGACAGTCAAGAAAGCACTTAACTGAAAAAATTGTGTATGCTAATGTTTAAATAAAGGAATGTGGTATCTTTCTACTGATTATAACCATATACTACAGTTACTTTACTTTGCATTATGTTGGATGCCTGTTATCAGATACAGATATGTAGAACCTGCCAAGAAATGGAACTTCCTTGCTTGAGATAGGGCAATACTGAGGCTGAAAGATCTATTTCAAAAGCCATATGGTTGGCCTGAATTTGCTACCAGCCTCTCAAAGGAAAGATTTGGCTCTGAATGCTTGAAAAGAATTAACCCTGCACCTACCAGAGCCTCGACCGTAGGGGTCTGACCACTCACTGCCGATGCAGCTCAGTATTGACGGCTGAACAAGGATGTCAGCTGACCCATAGTAAAAGCTGTCTTCCTTTCGTGCATGTTCTAAAAAGGTATTCAAAGCCTTCCTGGCACCTTTTCTCTACTAAAGACTACCAAAGACACCTGAGCCTTCCATCCATCCCATTCTTCTGGCTCATCTATGGGATATGCCTGAATAGTCAGAACATGCTCTCTGTGTTTGCCTGCCAGTCCCTCTTCCTGCTTCCAAGTGGCTACCTTTAGTCTATTTGTGCTGTTATAACAGAATACCTCAGACTGGATTATTTATAAAAAACAAATTTATTTCCAACTGTTCTGGATACTGGGAAATTTAAGATCAAGACCCTGACATTTGGTGAGGCATTCTTTTTTAAAAAAAAAAAAAGTTATTTATTTATTTGAGAGGCAAAATTACAAACAGAGAGAGGGAGATACAGAGAGAGGTCTTCCATTTGTTGGTTCACTCCCTAAATAGCCACAATGGACAGAGCTAGGCTGATCAGAAACCAGGGGCTAGGAGCTTCTTCTGGATCCCCTATGTGGGTGCAAGAGCCCAAGCACTTGGGCCATCTTCCACTGCTTTCCCAGGCCTTTAGCAGGGAGCTGGATCGGAAGAAGAGCAGCTGGATGTGATCCAGTGCTCACGTGGGATGCCAGTTCTGCAAGCAGAGGCTTAATCTACTATACCACAGTGCCAGCTCAGGGAGGACATTATTACTGTATCTTTGCATAGCAAAAAATGGCAGGGAAGGTATGAATGCTCCATGAAGCCTCTTATCTAAAGGCCTTAGTTCCATTGATGAGGGTAAGAGCTCTAGTGGTCTTGTAACCTCTTCAACGTCCCACTTATTAACACCGTCAAATTGGTAACACCTGAATTTTGGGAGTGGCACATTCAAGCTACAGCAATCAATCCCTGGCCCCTCAAAAGTCATGTCCTTCTCACTCAAAAAAAAAAATCCATTCCATTCTGATACCTCAAAAGATGTAATGTGTTTCAGCATTAAATTTAAAGTCTAAAGTCCAGAGTCCCATCTAGATATCATCTAAGTCAGAGATGGATGAGACTCAAAGTATATTCATTCATGAAGCAAATTCCCTTTCCAACTCCAAGCCTATGAAATAAAATGAGTTATGTGCTTCCAAGATACAATGGTGGGACAGGTGAGACAGATATTTCTATTCTGAAAGAGATAAATAAGAAAGTTACAAAACCCCCAAACAAGTTAGAGAACAGTTATAGAACCCCCCAAACTGGGTCCACTTACCCAACATACATCAAGCCAATAACTGACACTGCGGCCATTAGAAGAAGCAGAGTGTATTTGCAATGCACTGGTCAATTCCTGGACTCCCCAATGAATATTCTAGTTCAAAGCTAGGGATGAACAAGGTGTGATCAGCTCATTTGTGGGTCTCTGGTAGGTGCACAGCACTCATAGTCTTCCTTTGGTCAGAAACAGAATGCCAGTGTGCTTTTCTGAAGATGTGATGGTAAGGTGGGTTCCAGCAGTCTGGGGTCTATGGGAAGATAGTTATTACTTTGTTTAACATGGCTTGAAGTTTCTGAAAAACACCTCAATTAAGTCTAGCCTCAGAATGTAGCTGGGGTGATAATTGAGCTCTGAGGCCTGAAGTCCAGTACCCTGCAGGGCCCACCTGACCCTGGTGCCACTCTTAATTCAGTGAATTGATGCTTAGAAAGGAGTTGGCTTGCAATCACCACAGTGAAGACAGTAGGACTTGGTTACAACCCAAGCTACATGAGCTAGTGTTGTGTCACAGTGGGTAAAGCTGTGGCCTACAACACCAACATCCTATATCAAAGTGCTGATTCAAGTCCCAGCTGCTCTGCTTCTAATCCAGTTTCCTGCTAAAGTGCCTGGGAAAGCAGAAGATGGTTGGAATACTTGAGTCCATGTCACCCACATATGACTCCCCATTGTGGCCTTTTGGAGAATAACAAGACAGAAGGTCTCCCTTGCTGTGTCTCTCCCTCTCTCTTTCTTCTTCTCTCTCTCCCATCACAGATTAATAAATAAATAAAACCTAAAAAAAATTAAACCTGAACAACATTAGATCTTCAGACTTGAGAATGATGTTCTTGTCTGCTTCCCAGACACACTGAAGTCGGGGTTGGGGTCCCAAGGCTCCAGACAGCCCACGCAGCAGCTCTCTGGTTGCAGTCAGGTGCCTGCAGCTCTCCCAGGCTGGTGTTGCATGCTGGTAGCCCTATAGGTCTGAGGAGTCAGGAGTGACTGCCCCCACAACTTTACTAGGCACTGGCCTATTAGGGGCTCTCTGCAGTGGCTTTGCCCCTGTGGCAAGTGTCTGCCTGGACTTGGAGGCTGTCAGAGATGTCATCTGAAATGCAGGGGGAAAAGGACATGCCTCCAAGATTCTTGCACTCTGTGAGCCCCTAGAATAAGTGGCACGCAGATATTGTCAAGACTTGCAGGTTGTACCTTCTGGAAACGGGTACCAATCCTCACTTGAGCCAACCTGAGCCACAGCTGGGGCTGCCAAGGAGCAACGTGCCAGAAAGCAGGGAGCAGAGATTTGAAATATCCCCTGGGCAGCAAGTTCTGAGGTCCCATAAGTGCTCTGAGATCCTTCTTTGAACCTGCTCTGTCCTTGAGGCCCTGTGATGATGCACAGGACCCTGGGAGATCTCTGAATGCCTTCCGTGTCATTCCTTCATTGTCGTGATGAAGAGCCTTTGTCTTCCTTCTATTATTCACGATGATCTCTGTATGAAATATTCACTTGGCCACAGCCTTGCTTTTCTCTTCTAAAATATTGTTTCATTCTTTATGTGGCCCAGATTAAGAATTTCCTAAATCTTTACATTCAGCTTCCATTTTGATTCAATTGTTAACTGTTTTCCCTTCTTGGATGTCACTGTAAGTTAAGAGAAGCAACAAAGCTCTAGAGAAGTTAATTGCCGCCAGGCAACACTTTTCTGCTTAGAGATTTCTTCCACCAAATAGTCTATCCATCACTCAGAACTTCTACCCTCACAAACTCCTAGGATGTGGACAGAATGCAGTCAATATTTTCACTTTATATGAGGATGCCTCTTCCCCTATTTTCCAGTAAGATTTTTCTCATTTCTGTTCTAGAACCCATCAAAATAGCATTTTTTTTGTCCCTATTTCTACCATCATCTCGGTACATGTCCATCTAGATCATCAATAAGAAGGCGGCTGTCTACAGCTCTGCTCTCCTGAGTGCTCTCCAGAATAACCCCACAATGCTCTCTGCAGTACAGAACTTGTCTAGCATTCCTTTCAAGCTGCTCCATCATGTTGCCCATTTTCCCAGTCAAGGTTTTTAGGTGTTGTTATAGCAACAGGCTACCCCTGGTACCAGTTTTCTGGCTTGGTGTATTTGTACTACTTTAACAAACAGAATTACACAGACTGGATCATTGCCTTTAAAGGTTATTAGCTAACAGTTCTGAAGCTGAGAAGTTCCAGGATCAAGGCACTGGAAATCTGTGGGGCCATCTTGCTGGCTCCTCACATTGCAGAAGGCAGAAAGCCCAGGCCAAACGCTGCTTGCATTCTCTTCTACAAGAATTGTTATATCATTCATGAGAGGAGTTCTCATGGACCAATAACCTATTTTATTTGAGAGTTAGAGTTATAGACAGTGAGAGGGAGAGACAGAGAGAAAGGTCTTCCATCTGCTGGTTCACTCCCCAAATGGCCACAATGGCCAGAGCTGGCTGATCCAAAGCCAGGAGCCAGGTGCTTCTTCCTGGTTTCCCACATTGGTGCAGGGGCCCAAGGACTTGGACCATCCTCCACTGCCTTCCCAGGCCACAGCAGAGAGCTGGGCTGGAAGAGGAGCAGCCGGGACTAGAACCGGCGCCCATATGGGATGCTGGTGCCGCAGGCGGAGGATTAACCTACTGCGCCATTGCGCCAGCCCCTCAATAACCTCTTACAAGCCTCAATTCCTAATGCTATCAGAATTTAAATAATAGCACTGGCTACATTCAAATCGTCCTTACGTATTTTCCTCTGGAAGGAGGAGAGAACTTTCACTTTGCTTATGGCCTTGTCTAAATACTGAAGGAGTTTGTGGATTCAAAAGGCTCCTATAGCCTTGGTAGCTCATGTCAAAAGCCTCATGTGATCAGTGACATCATACATAAGAGTGTTAATTGTTAAATTAACAACAGGAGTCACAGTGCACTAACTTCCCAGGCAGGATCTCTGTCCTCAAAGAGTTGCATTATGAGAGTTAATAGTAAAACTTGTTCTCAAAGATTTACTTTGTATTAGTGTATTAAGTGGAGGATATTCTTATGTCTCATAAGTTATAGTTTCATCTAAGTGCTGGCAAAAGATGTATCATTCTTGGGTTCTTCTTTATTTTAAAAAATATGTTTATTTATTTATTTATTTGAAAAGTAGAGTTACAGACAGTGAGAGGGAGAGACAGAGAGAAAGGTCTTCCTTTCGTTGATTCACTTCCCAGATGGCCACAACAGCCAGAGCTGTGCGTCTTCCTGGTCTCCCATGCGGATGCAGGGGCCCAAGCACTTGTTCCATCTTACACTGCTTTCCCAGGCCATAGCATAGAGCTGGATTGGAAAAGGGGCAGCTGTGACCTGAACTCACGCCCATGTAGGATGCCGGCACCACAGGTGGAGGATTAACCTACTGTGCCACGGTGCCAGCCCCTCTTGGGCTCTTCTTTAAAGTTAATTAAGGAGGCTGGTGCTGTGGCATAGCGGATAAAGCCACTACCTGCAGTGTCAGCATCCCATAAAAGTCCAGTTCAAGTCCCAGCTGCTCCACTTCTAATGCAGTTCTCTGCTATGGCCTGGGAAAGCAACGGAAGATGGCCCAAGTCCTTGGGCCCCTGCACCCATGTGGGAGACCCAGAAGAAACTGTTAGTTCCTGGCTTTGTATTGGCCCAGCTCTGCCGGTTGAGACCATTTAGGGAGTAAACCTGCAGATGGAAGACTTTCTCTCTCTCTCCTCACCTCCCTCTCTCTGAAACTCTGCCTTTCAAATAAATAAATCAATCTTCTAAAAAGATTTTTAAAAATAAAGTTAAGTTTCTAAAAAAAAAAAAAACACTTAAAAAAAGAAGTGAAATCAACTTTGAGACGCAATGACATTGAATAGCCCTTGACTCAACTGTTGAGGAATATTTTTTTATTCACACAATTTGTTGAACCCTTTACTTAGTATAAAGTTAATCTTCTGTGTATAAAGTTAACTGAAAATAGATCATAGTAAAAAATAAGACTGGGAATAGGAGAGGAGGAGGAAGAGTAATGGGATTGTGGGTGGAAGAGTAGGTACAGTGGGAAGAATCACTGTGTTCCTAAAGTTGTTTTTAAGAAATGCAAGAAGTTTGTATTACTTAAATAAAAGATTTCTTTGGGGAAAAATATGAACTGAAGAACCGTGGGATATGTTAGTGTAATGCTTTCTTGGGAGGGACTGCCCTTTGTAGCTACATTATATCTTTACTTCTTTTTTGACTTTAAAAATGTTTCTTTAAAAATAAAATAATGGTGACAGAAAAGAAAAAAACATTTTCACTAGAGACACCTGGATCACAAGCATCCCTCATCTACCCCTTCTTTGGGGGACATTGTAATGTATGCTACGGGACGGTTTAATCAATGATCATTTTGTAAGCATTTATTAACACCTTTTTTTTAATTGTCCAAGTCAACTAGGGATTATGAAGATAAAATGGAATAACTAGTGTTCTATAATTTGAGTCTTCCAATATCTTCTTCCTCTAGCAATTTCATGGACATCCAGCGAAACATACAGTTCATCCTCCTCCAACACAGGCTCAACTCTTCATGGTGAGTACTTGAGGAAGATTCGGGGACATCAAAGTTAGTGATCTTCTCTACTTGGGTGAGGAGGGAAAGCAACAACCAATAAGACGCCAATTTCAGATAGGCATTTAAAAATGTAGCTTCATGGTAAAAATGACAATGAAAATCAAAATTCTTTCCAGTCACTCAAGGAAATTAGTCAGAGACAAAGCCTTAGATTTTTCTTTATTTCAAAAGGAAATCTACAAAATAGCAACTTTTTAGTCAGTACATCTGTGAAAAAAGCATTTTAATTTTTAGTTTTTCATTAGAAAATGGAATGATCAGTCAACATGGAGATGTCTGGTCTGACATTGCAAAGCAGTTTTATTCATCTTATCAAACACATTGAGATAGGAAGAATAGGTGTTTTTGATCAACTGAACTTCTGATAATCTGGTATAGAGATCAGGCTTATCTTTCAATTACATCAACTGTGGCATTGTCCCATATCATTTACATTTCTCATGAAGATCCTTTAGTAAATGTAATTTCATTGTTTGGAAGTGAGCAGCCTCTCTTTTTTCTCTAAATCAATCAGAAAATTCAGTTGCTGTTACACAGATCTCAAGATCCCAACCTTGATATAAATTGGTTTTTAGTAAGTTTTACATACAATATCATAGGGATGTTCAGGCCATTCAAATTGAGCTCTTCCAATAACACATGAAAGAAACCCAACCGTGACCTTACACCACTTGATCAGGTGAGATGGCTGCTAAGATCACTCAGCTATTCCCCTTGTATTCCCAGGTGATGTCTTCACCAGCACAAGCAGAACATTTTCGGAAGTTCCCACAACTGCCGGGGGATCTACTAAAAATAATCGTATCTATATCACTGGTAAATGATTTTCCATTGTTTTGCATCTTAATGTTTTACTCACTCAATAAATTTTTTATTGAGTACCTACCATTTGCCAAGCACTGTGCTGTTTATTGAGTATACAGTGATAACATTAGCCTTCTGAAGAGTATAATCTACTAAAGATAATATATAGTGAGTAAATAATCATATGTTAAATTTATTTGTAAATAACCATACAAGTACATTGTGACAGCTACCATGGTAGGTGCTGACAGAGTTTAACAGGAAGATCTGATTTTAATTGAAGGCTGGGAAAGGACTTTCTGAGGATACACTGTTAACTTAAAATCTGAAAAATGGATAACGATTAGCCAGCTGAAAAACAACAAGAAACGTTTCAGGCCTGTGAAAACACAACAATGCAAGAAAGATATTTTTGGAACAAAAAGTATTCCTATAATTTAATTAATAAAACTTGCCAATGCATAGTATAGTCCCTTATTTTTTTATAATAAGAAAGCAAGGGATTGACTAAATTAGGATCATTCCAATGTAAGTTCACAGGCATAATCAACTCTTTCACTTCATGGATGGGGGAGCTCACTTCAGGTGATGAAATGTCCACCTGGGTGCTAAGCTTGTGTCTTCTAGAAGGTTGTATAGAATTCAGATCATTGGACCATTCTCCTGCACACATCTTGGGAACAGAGCTGAAAACTAAGGTCCTAAAGTCTTTTTTTTTTTTTAAGATTTATTTATTCACTTGAAAGAGTTACATAGAGAGAGAAAGAGAGGCAGAGAGAGCAAGAAAGGTCTTCCATCCCCTGGTTCATTCCCCAAAAGGTGTAATGACTTGATGAAAATAAAACTTTGTTTGCTACGGTGTTGACCATCTGTGTGAGCTGTGAGTGTCTATGTTCATGTGTGTGGTCATGTTACTCTAGAGGTTTGAACTGTAAACTCTAGCCTCCTGTGTAGATGAGAATGTCATATGATTAAGTAATATAGAGCTACATGAGCTTCCAGGATACCCCCAGTGTTTACATGGACAGAGCTGAGTTAGGATAAGCAAAGAAAGACCTTGGATCCCTCAGTGTGTGTTATTTGTAAAGGAAAAATCTTCAGCACTGACTAACCAGAGCTAACTGCCATTCAAACCATGTAAAATATTTTAAAAATGGCAACTAATATTTTAATATTTTAAATCTAGCTCTTTATTCTTTTTTTCTTTTTTTTTTCTTTTTTTTTTTTTTTAGTTTTTGGTAGACAAAAAGCAGTATAATAAAAACTGGGCAGGACTGGGCACTGGCCTAACAGTTATCATTCTAGTTAGTATATCCCACATCAGAGTGTCTGAGTTCCTTCACCAGCTCCATCTCTTGACTGCAGCTTCCTGCTAATACAGACTCTAACACAAACACTTAAGGATGACCTGGATTCCATTCCCAGCTCTCAGCCTTGGTCTCCCAGCCAGTGTGAGCATCTGGGGAGTGAGCCAGCAGATGGGAGTGCTTGTTCTTCTGTCTTTGTTTCACTTTCTCTGGATCAAATAAATAATAAAAATGAAAACTGGGTAAAAAATAAATAAAAAATCTTGTCTCCACCTATAAATAATTTACCATCTAAATTAAACAATGAAAAAATCCAAATAATATTTGCCCAAATGAGCTGGTTCAATTCCTGACTGCTCTAGTTCTGATCCAGCTCCCTGCTGATGCACCTGAGAAAGCAGCAGAGGATGGCCCAAATCATAGGCCCCTGAACCCACATGGGAGACCCGGAAGGAGTTCCTGGCTCCTGGCTTCAGCTTGGCCCAGTCCTGGCCAGTGTGGCCATTTGGGAAGTGAACCAATGGATGCAAGATTTCTCTATCTCCCTCTGTCACTCTCTGTCTCTTTCTCCTCCTCTCTCTGCCTCTGCCTCTGTAACTCTGCTTTTCAAATAAATAAATCTTTTTTAAAAATTTCCCCAAATGATCCATGTGATTTAAATGTCTAACTATTTATCTGTAATGTTATAGAAATTCCATTGGAGTGTTGTTAGAAATAACAAGGCCTGGAAACAATTTAACTGTTTAATGTTAAAGAAACCAATTAAATAAACTATGGTAATCCATTGGGGAATTATCCAGTCATTTAATAAAATGCTGTAAATCTGTATGCATTGCTATGGAAAGTATTCCAAGAATGTTTTTTCAAGAAGCCAAGGACAGAACAAGATGTATAGCATGCCCCCATTGTAATAAAAAGGATATACGATTGTTCACATGCATATCCATGCCTTATTATTCATAAGCATTTCAGTTAGGACACATAATTGACAAGGCATAGATGTGCCCTCAGAGTGCGACTGCAGTCAGTGAACAACCCCCGCTGAGGTTCATCTTTCTCTACGTCTTTTCAGGTATTGAGCTTGGTAGACCTGAAGATGGGATATCCTGGCCGGTGATCGTTGCATTTTTGCTCTTTTCTGTGTGATATTGTTTGGTCTTGGAATAAGAAAATGGTGTCAATACCAAAAGGAAATGTGAGTACAAGAGTAAGATATTTCGGAACTGATAATTTTTCTACGAAATATTTTCTCAGCAGAAAATACGATTACTCTATGGAGATCCTCTCACACTGTGCTGAGAACTAAGGCTCCCAGAAGTTCAGAGAGGTCCTCTAGCGCTCCCGGCATCACACAGTTGGGATTAAATGCACAGCTCCTGCTCCGTATCCCTCTCTGCATTGGCTGGCTGAGCTGTAATACTCATCAAACGGAGCAAGTCAGTGGGCATGAAATGAGAACTGAGCCTCACCTTACCCCCAAACTAAAACTGACTTTTCTTTTAATCCTCATTATTTTTTCATTTTCATGCATCTTTGAACTGCCTGGGCTGAGCTGAGCCTAGATGTTCAAGTGTGAAATTGAGTGAGAAAGGTAATTTTAAGAGATTTCCAACTGCTATTCATCAGACTGGGCTTTTACTGTACTGTTTCCTGTTTCCCCAAGGGGAAAAGCAACCAAGCATTGGGTTACTCCCACTCTGTTTATTTTTCCAAAACTCTTTTCCACTCAGCATTTAGAAATGGCTTGTAAAGTTAAACCTCATTTTTCTACTCTCTATTTGGATCAGTCTGGATTAGGCTATGTTCAGAGGAGAGATGATCTTCCATGTCTTACTGCTATTATCTATGATAACACTTACCCATGTGCACTAAGCCCTTTTACTTTTCATAGTGTATCCTTGAAGACTAAGAGAGTGTTTTATGGTGGATAAAGCACTAAACTAATAGTTATAAATTCCGAATTCTCATCCAAGGACTACATGTTGGCCACCATTCAAGAAATTCATTATTTCTCTAAGAAACTAAAGTACAAGTTTCTCAGACTTGTATCCACCTTTTGATATATGTTCAGTCTCTATTAAATCATCAAAACAAAGGGATAAGGCTAAGGGGAGCTTTATATTAAAATGAGCAAGTGGGAATCTGACTATCTGAATTGGTGTTTGTAAGATGTTCTATAGTCAAATGTCTGTATAATATACAGATGAAAATCTCTCTCTCTCTCTCTTTCTCTTTCTCTGGTTCTCTCAAAATTAAGATACTATGAACTGTCATGGCATAGAGATGTTAGAGTCTTTGACATAAAGATGCTTACAGATAAATATGTATGCCTTGATATCAATATAGCTGGAGCATTTTCACAGCTAAATTCAATTCTAACCTGTATGCTCAGTGCATATCCAACAAACATGAATTGTGCTAATATAAAACACTGCTTTGTACAAGGATGACTTTGAGAATGCTCATTGATTCAGACAGAAGGAATTCAGATATCATTCAGCCAGTACCAACCAATGCAGGGGGATTCAGAAGAGCTTTACTTCCTGGATATGCCATATTCTCACAGAACACAGTGTGTGGGTAAAGGTTGGTAGTAGAGTTGGCAAAGCAAATACTTAAAAAGCTCAAGTCTTAAGTTCCAGAATTTTAAAATGTAGTCTGTGGAAGAAGACCAAATATTTCCTTGCATAAGAGAAAAACTTCCTCTATTAGGAGACAGTTGCTATGGAGAATATCAGTTCAGGTTGAGAGACTTCAGTTGCTGATCTGATTGGCTTAGACAAGTTGCTTACAACTGATATGAATTCTCAGATACAAAATAAATAATGTTATGATAAAAATGCTTTGCAGGGCCGGGGCCGCGGCTCACTAGGCTAATCCTCCACCTAGCGGCGCCGGCACACAGGGTTCTAGTCCCGGTTGGGGCATCGGATTCTGTCCCAGTTGCCCCTCTTCCAGGCCAGCCCTCTGCTGTGACCAGGGAGTGCAGTGGAGGATGGCCCAGGTGCTTGGGCCCTGCACCCCATGGGAGACCAGGAAAAGCACCTGGCTCCTGGCTCCTGCCATCGGATCAGCTCGGTGCGCCGGCCGCAGCGCGCCGGCCGCGGTGGCCATTGGAGGGTGAACCAACGGCAAAAGGAAGACCTTTCTCTCTGTCTCTCTCTCTCACTGTCCACTCTGCCTGTCAAAAAAAAATAATAATAATAAAAAAATGCTTTTCAAACTATAAAGTTCATATAAATATTAATTAATGATATGATCATGATGTTTAAATGGCTAATAGCACTCATAAACATAGTGTTAATCCTAGTTCTGGAAGAACTAGGAGGGTGTATCACTTTCTTACCAATCTGTGTCCTGCTTTTAGAAATAAATACCACTTCACATTCTTAGCATTCAAAGAGCAATGTTTTGTTCCTAGCATGGAAAGACCCCCACCTTTCAAGCCACCTCCACCTCCAATCAAGTACACCTGCATTCAAGAGCCCACTGGAAGTGATCTGCCTTATCAGGAGATGGAGACACTCTAGTCCTTTGAGACTTTGTCATATAGCGAAATTCTCCTGGAATACTATCGAGAAGGTAGATGTTATGCTTTATGAATATAATTGCCCTCCCAGCCAAGCCTCTGCTGCAGATGGGATGCATGTCAGAATTGAATAACTTGTTTTCCCAGCAACCTCACCCTGTTTCATCTGCATATGCCTGAAATTCAAACAAGAGTGAGAGGCTGTGTCATGTCCACATCCAACACCATCTGTAAGGATTTTCTTGCTTTTGTAAAAGGTGCATATTAGACTGCTGTCATTTAAAAATGCTTGCAGTGTTTTGTTTACTTCTCAAGTTAAAGGAGCAACCGTAGTTTCAAGCATATGCCCACACTTAATCCTCTTCTTTGAACATCTTCCAGCATTCTAAACTATTGCCAAAATTACAAGAATTTGGAGTTTTGCTGCACTCCCCAAGAGAATTATAAGAAGAAAAAAATGGGAGACTTCCAGCATGAGTTACCAATAATGAAAAGTACAGCCTTCCAACAGAAATTTTGTCATTTATTTTCAGTAGAGAAAAACTGAAAGCATTGGACAATAGCCACACTCTAAGCCCACTTTCACCCTTCCTTCCATTGTGTTCAGTACAGTCTCCTGCCTCATGGACCAAGATAAGGAGGAGCCAAAGAAAAAACTAGTCAATAGTCAAGTAGCTTAGAAGATACAAGGCTTCACTGGCTTCTAAAATTATAACAGCTAAAACTTACTTCATTCTTGGCTTTACCTCTGTGTATGTAGGTGTGTGTGTTCATAGTATGTATCAAACTAGCATCAAATTATTATGTAAGCAAGCTGGTGGCCTAACCCCATTCTAATCCATCTAATTCTCATGATTCTGTTGTTCATCTTGGGACTTCCTGTTCATCCAGCATGCCTGTTTTGATCTGTCTTAAAACAGATAAAGAGCTTCAAATGAGACTAACACTGATGAATTAACCCTGCTCCTACCAACATTTTACAAAGCAAATCAAGCAGAATATACAAGTGACAGAGAATAAACTTAGTCAAACGTTCCCTGTGTCCAGCAACAGTTTGTCAATGAATAAGCTACTGATCCCTCTTGTCTTCCTATCCCCCACACACAGGAAGAAAGAACAGAAGTTGTGGGCAGGTATAATAATAGGCCAATTCTGTATGGATTTCAGTCTGTAAAGGAATCCTTGGTTCCTTTTCAGTACACTTACCCCTGACTGCACATGAGAAGAAATTTGAGGGTTTGTATTGCATTTTTTTTTTAAGTAACCATGGCTGTCGGACTCCCGCTCAAGTTAATCAGAACCTCAGCAGAGTAAGACACAGACATAAGCACTCTGATGTTCAGTCAAAAGTAAGAACTGCTGACCCAGTGGAAGCCCCTACTCATTGATTAGAATCTTGGTCAGGAATTTGCCTCTTTTTGAGGCCAACCTCCAAGATAACTCCCAGTGATTCTTGTATTCTGATAGTCATACCCACGTGGTTCCTCCAACACTAACCTGTGTAACCCAAGAGTAATCTTAAGGTAAGCAACCAAGGCATCTGGGATGCAAAATTTTTAAAAGCATTCACACTCAAAAATCACACACTTACATAATCTTGACAGTGTGTGCCGGCCTGCAGCACAATGAGCCGGATTTACAGAAAGTGGGAATGTGGGGACAGGACGCGAAGAATGGAGCCAAGACAAATCCTGATCAAGGCTCGTTTATTCAACAAGTCCAGTAGTATTTAAACATGACCAGTTGTACACAAGAAGGCACACAGAGGATTTCCATATCTAAAGGACGTTTGCAGTTACAAAGAGTTCTGATAAAGTTCTTCCAATTAACAGATCACAAAATGTTATCAATCATAGATTACAAGGGTATAATAAAACACCTAGGAAATAAATGCTGGTTTCAGGTGTGGCTGATTACCTACATCATCTCTTGTGAGAAGTCTAGCAGTGAGATACGGTTCTTCCTGCCTCTTCCTGGAATCTCCTTAGCCTAATTGTGCTGGGATGTCTCCATCCATATGGTTAAGTGTAAACAAAAGGGGCAACTGCCTGTAGCTGCCCACAACAGTGAATGTCAGTCCCAGGCTTGTCATAACCAGTAGATCATGTAGAAATGGGCAGAGTGTGACTTCAAGGCTAGATCGTAAAGTACATTGTAGTTTCCACCTTGATTTCTCTGATTACGGGCTCTGGCAGAAGCCCATCCTCACACCAGGAAACACTCAAGCAGCAGTTTAAGGATGCCCAACTGAGCAGAAGTAGAGATTCCCTGTGAAGGAACTGATGCCTCCTGCTAACACCAGGCATCAACTACCAGCCACAGGGTGAACCGTCTTGGAAAAGGAACACTGTTACGTCTTCAGAAAAATCACAAACCTCCCCTGATCTTTTGACTGGGACCTTGTAAAAGTCAAAATCACCCAGCTAAGCCTTTTCTGATTTTCTGGCTGCTGGACACGATGTATAATAAATGTCTGTTTTTTAATATTGCTATACCTGTTTATAATTCGTTACATAGAACACATAACTACTACAGCTCAATACATGGAAAAAATTAACTAATGCTTGCCTTAGCTTTAATGTCTCATTAGTTCTCAAACAACAAAAATTAGTTCCATATGACTGTTGCTTCATTGTGTAGTTATTTTTATTTAGTGTAACTTAATTATCAGCAATTTGTGTAACTGTCATTGCTGTTTTATTTTTATTGTTCCATTAGGAGATATGAATACATCAGAGGTATAAGGGTAAAAAGAAAGAGTTGAGATGTTTAGATTTTTTTCAGTAAAAGGGGAAACAGTTTTGCAGTACAGCATAAGTTCATATAATTTTTCAATCTGTCATATGACAGATGTCTTATAATGTTCTTATGTTAGCTCTTCTTCAATGGATAATTTTTAGTCCTGGAAGTTCTGGTCAACATTTGCAAATTCATCTACCACTTAAATAGAGTGAACAGTTGCTTATCCACAGAAGGATGTTCAGTTGGTGATTCAAAGGAACTTTCCATAAGCCTACAAAATAGAGGAATTTCAGATGCTGTTTAGGTAATGCTATGAACTTGACATCTCTCATTTGAATAAAATGATAGTGTCACCTGCACCTTAAACTATGTACAAGCAGATTCACAGCACCTGTCTCAAACCAATAACTTCTCATTCTAGAAGTGAACGGAGTTCTGCCCCATAGGAGACATATCAATGTAATACCAAAGGTTTCTGTATGGCTTCATCACCACCTTCATTTTCACTAGAAAATGCGAAAGAGAGGAGAGAGCGAATGAGAGGTCTTACATCCGCTGATAAATCTCCCAAATGGGAGCAATAGCCAAGTCTGGGCCAGGCTGAAGCCAGGATCTAGGAAGTCATCCTGCTCTCCCACACAGGCGGCAAGGGCGCAGGATTTGAGCCATCTTCTACTGCCCAGTACTTAAGCCATCTTCCACTGCCTTCCCAGGTATATTAGCAAGAAGCTGGATCAGGAGCAGAGCAGCCAGGACTCAAAACAGCATTCTGATATGGGATGCTGGCATTCCAAGTGGCAGATTAATGAGCTGCACCATAAAACCAACCCCGTAAGAATTTTTTTTTTTTTATCATTCATTTCCAAAGCACTTTGTTAAATCACATTATTATTCAAAATATTCATTTCCTTAACCACCTGCATCATGAAAACAGCTAGAATTTGAGCATGGACATTTGACATGTTTTGGGCAATGGAATATCATGAGATTGACTATCCCAAAGCTTGCAAAGTGCTTGTGTGATTGGACTTAGTTTGATGTGCTCTGTTGCCATGACAACAACACATTGGCCCATTAGTACCAAGAAGATGATAAAGAGACTCATGGAGTAGAGCAGAGCCACCAATGCCAGGCCCAGAGTACATCAATCAATCCCTAGCCGAGCTACCTCAACAGGCATATAAGCTAGATATTGCTGAATGCCACTGAAATTCTGTGATTGTTAAACATCATCATTGTAACAGCAGCTCACCTATACACATAGTCCAGAGATAGGCATGTTTGATCCCATGTGTCAGTGACGAGGCTAAGGGATAAAATGTGTGCCTTCATACAAAACAGCCTTTTCTTTGATTGTTTCGGCATGCATTTTGTTCTAACTAAAGACAATATAATTGGGTTCACCAATTACCTTTGCATTATAGCGTAAAAACAGCACATCTGATCTGAACAAGTACTAGAGGTCATCTTATAAATAAAATTGACTTACTCAAAATTACGCAATTAGACAGTGGTAGAACCAAAATGATGGCCCATCTCTGACTTCCTGTCTAGGGAGTGGATCAATCTCTAATTGCTTTGGCATCACTTTTTATTTTTTATTATAGAGAAGAGCTGCCTTATGTGCATTTAAATAAACACTGATTTTTTAATGCCCAGACAGTATTTTCCAAAAATTGTGACAGAAGACAAAGAAATGTAGTAATAATTGGCCCCTGGGGGTGGAATGGCCTAGAAAATGTGAAATGAAAAAAAAAAAAAAAAGACTAGGAAATGAAAGGAGGAAAAAGAGTAATCAAGATCAGAATCTGGAAAGAAGATTCAGAGAAACTTACCAAGGCCGAGCAGTGAAGAGAACATCGCCCCCAGAGGCTCTGAGGCAGGGGAACTGGTCCTGGAAGGTAGTACTCTCAGCACCAGGACATAGGGGAGTGGGTTTGGCTTGAACTCGAGGGTTAAATCTGCAAAATCATGGACATTTTGTTCTTTCTGAGATGAGGGCTCAAATGCAGTGTAATTGAGGGTTTTAGCAATAACAATTATAGCTGTGTAAACAGCTAAGGGTGAATATCCAACAGAAAACCTGAAATAGTGGACAAAAGTTACCACCATGGGCACAAAGGACCTTAACTAGCAGAGAGTGGGCTGCTGTTCCAGCCAGAGACACACGGTGAGATGATGGGAGCAGGGCAGTTTATTTCCTGACATCTGCAATGATATGTTTTCCTTGGATCCTGTAATTACTAGCAAGGCTGCATACTTCATCCCAGGAAGGCATTAGCAGAGAGGCGGGAGAATAGGACCTTAGGTACAGTCAGGGGGTCAGAATTATCCTTAACTCATGTCCATGTGTCTATGAAGGGTCTTGACATTAGTTGTG